GGGGGTAACCATGCGATAGCATCACATCCAGGGGGGAGTAGAAATACTCCCAGGCACTTCAAGCTACAGAAACCGGGATAAGCTCCAGCCTGATGAGCCACTTGGCTCATATCCAGACTTTACCTTTACCTAACAGAGTGGAGGAGGTAAGTCCCTGATCAGTGCCAGTGCTAAACTCAAGTAAACTACTAGGAATATTGCTTCTTATCCTAGTTCACTGAAGGTGACCCCCAAGAATTCTGTTAAGTTGCCTAAAAATGCTATTTGCTAGACTAAGTAACAATAACAATTACTGTTCTTGGAGTGGAAAGTAACTTGTCTCAATCAAGATCACAACAATGATTCCACCCAGCATTTGTAATCAGATTGCTCAATTCTGGAGTCGGGCAGACTAACCATAAGGAAATATCCAGTTGTTAGGAAAAACAATTTACAGGACATTGAAAGAGTGCAAAGGTCATTCAAAATATTTCCATTTGTAACAATAGACTGTTTTCGATATATTAAAATTCAGCTTGATAGTGAAGCCTAGAGGACACAAACAAAGGGAATTGAATGACTTGTTCATTAATTTCTTGTTTGTGTCCTTTAGGCCTCACTATCAAGCTGAATTTTAATATGTCGAAAGTGACCTATTGAATTTACTCCATAAGAGCTGGCTGATAAAGGATATTTTCAAATAAATAGTAATGAAAAGCTGCTACTTTTAACCTGCCAGTCAAACCTTATATTCATGGCCCAACCGTTTCTCAATTACCGGCACTTATTATTTGCACACAAAAAAATATATTTATTACCCATTGTGTATACTAGACTTACTTTGTATAGAACAACTTGTTCAGTTGATGCAGACCCTAAACCAAGAGATAACAAAACTAAGAGTCAACCTTGCAAGTACATCTTAAGGGCCCATTAATCAATCTTTTCGAGCCGTTGCTAGGGAAAATTTAATCTCATATAACCTCATCATTTTTAGTTAGTTTAGAGTTATTTAAAGTGTTTTAGCTTTTTCATGATCAGTAACACTAGTGATGACATCATCAGGCCACGCCCACAGTCATGTGACTAATACAGAAAAAATGCAAAGGCTCCCAGACAAATTACTTTCGTGAGAGTTTTTTCATTGATTTAATATTCTAATTTAAATCCTCATTATGCTATGCATTGATTTTGTTTCATTTCTGAAAGGTCAGATTTTGAGAACATTTCAAAATATTGAAAAATTCGTAATTTTCTGAAAAAAGCATGATTTCG